CTCCTCTGCTGGTCTGTGAGTTAAATGGCTGTGCTTGGCTCACCTTGGGAAGTACGGATAATGCAATTCAGATTAAGTTAGTCTGCTTTGCTACATGCGGCAGAGCTTCCCAGAGTGACCTGGTGTGGTGTGTGCCCACTGGCACTTAGAATCCACGGAGGTTCTTCCGGCACACTCACATGGCTATAATCCAAAGTGAAAAGGTAAGAAGGTAGACCGTGTAGAGAGATACAAGAGACAGGAGTGCTCCCGTGGAAGAGGTAGGGAGGTGGAGACTGGGTGGGAGCAGTCAGGGAGGGCTTCCTGGAAGAAAGGTTTTCCTGAAGCCATCTTCCTGATGGGTTTCCTACACACTCACAGGTTAAGACGACAATCTGGAAGAGCCAGGAGGACCACGCCAAACATTAGAGGGGACATAAACTGAGATGGAGGCAAGCCAACCCGAGCTGCGTTTGAGCACTGCCCAGCTTTCCTAGTGGCTGCAGCATTGAGTACAGAGCAGCGAGCAGCAGTGATTCCCAGTGAGCAAAGTGCTCAACTGAGAAGTGAAAGTCAGCACACAGCCCAGGTCATGCATTACAGGAGTCACGGGAAAGAGCCTTGGGGGTAAGATAGTAAGACAGAAGCTAGACTTGAGATGGACTGGGGGGGTTAGGCAACATGTTGCAGGGCAGAGAGGAAGCGGGACAGACAGGGCTTCTGTCAGGTGGTTTGGGGGCACTGATGGTGAATGTTCCCGGAGATAAAGAAGGACAGCCAATGAGACCAACTGGGACAGGTAGGCAGGTGGGCAAGCTAGGCTGGGAGGGGTCTGGGCTGCAGGGTGAGCATGGAATCCAGGGAGGCTCAAAAGCTGAAGGTGGTGCGGCCCCGGCTGGGGGAGTCGCAGTGAGGGCAGGATCACGCCACAGACTGGTCACCAGGAGATACTGACTGAGCCCCTACCTACGGGTGCTGTACCACCTACTAACTGCAGGTGCGAAACTGCCTACTACCTGGGGGTGCTGTACCTGATGCTTCCCACGTGCTTTCAGCCCATCCTCCCTCAAATGCATCCTGCCGGGCAGAAGCAATGACTGACTCTGGAACTCTCTAATTCCAGGTTACGGTCAGCCTTTCAACATGACCAATCCCTCCCCCCGGGACCCCAGGAGCTGTGCAGAGACTATGGGGAAGCCCCACCTATGTCCCAGGTAACTCAGGGGACATGGGCAGGTGGAGCCCTGATTGGGGAAGGAGAGAGAGGCCCACAGGTTAGAGAGTCAGTACCTCAGACGCTGAGAACAAAGGCCGGCCTCCCGCCCTTCCCCCAGACTCCTCGAGGCTCATCTTCTCCCCATGACTCGGCAGTCACCAGTCCCACCGACTCCATCACCTAGGAACCGCTGCATCTGTTGCCCTTCGGCACTCCACTGCCTTGCCCTAGACTGCCTTCCTCACGTCTTGCCTGGAGCTACATAGCCTCAGCTTTGACGGCAGAACAAGGAGAAACCCAGAAGCAGCATATACAATGCCTGGTAGCCCCTTGGACTCCCCTTTGGCGCTTCTGTCTCCCCCTCTGCTCCCCATCCCCATTTTACGGTCCAGCCATAGCTGATCTGAGCACCCAGCGACCTCTCCCTACAGTGCTTCCACACCCTCCCCCAGCACATCCTGCCCTCCCCACCCTGCCCCACGACGCACCCTCATAGTCTCTCCTCATCCTAATGCAGTACGAGGTCTCCTCCGTCAGGACCGTATCCCAAGGTGGGAGCGAGTCCACCACCCGTGGTTTGCCATGGCAACCCCCTTTCATGGCACTTAGCAAATTCCAAGGTCATTGCCTCTTTACCTGTGTGTTTTCCCCAAGAGGTGGGGAGGTCCCTGAGACCAGGGACTGTGGCTGGCACACAGTGGGTTCTCAAGAAGGGTTTGCTAAGAGATGGGTGAAGATGTTCCTCGTGTCACTGCTGGAGCCAAGCCCAGGTGGCCCAGGTGGCTCCTGGACAAGGAAAGAGGCCAGGCATGTGTTGGCTTTGGGAACTCAAGCTACAGAAGATGAGGTATTAGGACAGGCTGGGGCTGTAGGCAGGACCTTTATAATGCTGCTTCCCAGACTCGCTCTGGTCCCAGCTGGTCCTGAAAATCCCCCATCTCCACACAGGGAGCCAACTGAAAACTCACACACGTGAGCATGCACACGCGTGTCCGCACACGTGTGTCACTGCCCCTGTGCCTTAGAGGCTGCTCAGGATTCATCAGCCAACAGGAAGCCGAGCCGGCCCTCTGGCCCTCACTGTAATTGTCCTGGATATCAGGTGCGCGCTTTCCCGGCAGCCCCTCCACAAGTGGGTGTTTGTCAGCTGCCGGAGGTCCCACCCGAACCTCTCAGGTCTGTGCCAGGCGGGCCCTGATCAGAGGCAGCTATCTCAGCTCGGAAAGCAATCCGAGTCTCCCCTCTAACAGATGTCTTGACACTGTAGCCGGAGCTCGTTCACGAATATGATTTATTAACTAATTTAGCGTGTAAGAAAAACATCTGCATCTTGCTTTTATCATCTTGCCAGCAGACAGGCTGAAGACAAGATGTGTACTGCAGACTCGATTAATGGAGCCTTAAGCACTCCCTGCGCTTGTCCAGAGCTCGCACAAGGCTCTCGTTTCAGAAGTTGTCTGATTGAGCCGACCTAACACAAACAAACACGAGAGTAAACCTCTCATCAACCATAAATACCGCGGGGATCGGAAGAGCGGCCATAAAATCGTGCGCTGAAGCCTGCCCAGAGCATTCTAGTCATCAGGACCGTCTCGGAATTTGGGTAATAAAAAGGTGCCTCGGTTATTTAAGACTGGGTCTGATCACCTTTTATTATATACATGATTTTAAGATTTTCATTCAAAGGAATGTGAACATGTAAGGATAATATCTGTTTGGGGCAAAACATCACCACAGGCTGATGGAGTGGATAGAACTGTCTCCCCAAAAAGATATGTTCAAGACCCCTCCCTTGTATCTGTGACTTGATTTGGAAATAGGGTCTTTGCAGTTGTATGCAAGTTAAAATGAGGTCATACTGGATGAGGGTGGACCCTACTCCAATGACTGGTGCCCTTATAAGAGGAAATTTGGACACAAAGACACACAGACACAAGGGAGACAAAGGCGGGGATGAGAATGACGCCTCTATAAGCCAACCAACGCCAAGGAATGCTAGAAGCTGCCAGAAGCTACCGGAGCGAGCAGAGGGGCATAGGATGGATTCTCCCTCTGAGCTTCAGGAAGGACTTGGTCCTGTGGACATCTGGATTTTGGATTTCTGGCCTCCAGACTGCGAGAGAATCAAGTTCTGTGACTTTGGCCACCCACCCAGTCTAGGGTCATTTCTTACAGCAGCCCTAGGAAATGGATACAGATGACCAAGGCAGCTTCCCTCTGATATTTGAGATGATGATATTCCAAGACACTGAGGCCCGCGGTGTGGCACGGCCGGAAGGCAGCTGGCCCAGGGGACGAGCAGGAATGGCCCCACGCATAACAAGTTCCCAAATGTCCATGCGTCTCCATTTTTTTCTACACAAAGTGATGGGAGCTGACCGAAAAGGAAGACTCTTAGACACCATTTTCATCAAGCAGGATCTTCAAAAACGTGGAGGCCAAGTGGCCCACACACCACGGGCACCCCGGCAGCCCTCCCCAGAACAAGCCTGGACACTGAAGGCCCTGGGGGGAACCCCGGTTGTAACTGGCACTTGGTGCCTCATGGCAACCTGAGAAATCTGTACCCGAACCCAGATTGCTCTCTGTTGAGCCAGAAACTAAGGAGCCGCCAGAGAACACACCCAAATAGTCTGTATCTGCCAATCGGCTTCCAAAGCCGATGAGAGACACATTTTCAAGCAGGGAAAGTCTTTGCACGTGTATTTTGTTGATTTCCTTTTCTTAGCATCCTGGGAAGTGTTACTGGGGCTGAGGAGCAGGTGTGCTACTAAATCCTTCACCGTGAGAAGGATGCATTCAAGTTTGCCCTTTCTGGGGTCTTGGACGACTCCCCCAGCAGAACTGCGGGGGGCGGAGGGGGACCTAGCCTGCCCGTGGTTAACAGGAATCCTATTCCAACCCCTCTGTCCTCTGTCCCCCCCATCCCCCCTGTAAGATCTTGGTAATATTTGCTAAGCTGCATTTTATTGAATATGGTTATTTCCCCAGAGGACTTTTATTCAGAATTAGACCCATGATTTCACCTCCTGGGGGCCGGAACATTTTCCTAGGAAGAAAGATCTTGTTCGTCTATCCAAAGAAATAAAACGGAGGTTTCCCCAGGCCTCCAGATTTTAAGATTTGAGTTGGCAGGCCATCAGAATGTGCTCCCATGTCCCCATCTGTGCCCTTGTCTCTTCTTATTCTCGCTGGTTTAATAGTCTGTTTATAAGCTCCACGAAGAAAGGACGGAGGCCAGCCTTGCTTACTGCACTCTCCCCAGCTCCCAGCACGGAGCCTGGCCCAGAGAAGGGGCCTGGTAACGACTTCTCCAGTGAGTCAGTGAGCGCTGCCCTTGCAGGGTCAGCGCGACACCGGCCTCCTGGCGCTTGGCAAGCTGGCCATCCCTTCTCTGAGCTCACGGCAGGAAAGGGGTTTCAAGATGATGAATGTTGATATAGACAAGCTGGAGTCAACCTCTCACCCCGAGACCTGTTCTGCAATCTATCAAGGGCAAAGGGCACCTCTTGCAAGTATCTGTTAAGAAGCCAAGAATTGGAGCCGGCTGCCCTGGGCTGCTACTTTCCCGGCTAAAAGGGTAAATTTGGGTCCCAAGTTATCTCTGCTGAGTCCAGTGCCCGTACACGATCTCTCAGGACGGGCTGGCTTCCGGGGCAGGCTGTATGACCCTGAGGTTTGGGTGCTTGGGCGAACATGAGTCCTGCACAGGGCAGGGGCACCATTTGGACCACCGGCCTGGGTGAAGGTCGTGGCCCCAGGATCCGGCAGTCTCGCCAGCCCTCCCGAGCCACCTGTAGCTTACCGCTAAGAGGGTGGGGAACGGTGAACTGCTTCTTATTGGCGCGGACAGGAAGGAGACTCTGCTTCTGGCCCAGGCTCTCCTTCTGCTGGGCTTTTCTCTGCTGTACCATGTGTTCTAGCTTCTTCAGACGTTCTTGCGAGCGAGAAATGAACTGAGGTTTGCGGACTTCCAGGGCCTCCTAAGAGGAGCCAGGAAAGCATTTTCTTTTTAAAAGAAATGATGCAGAAAGGCAACACACCTGTCTGATTGGGTCGAGAGGCTGATGCATGAGCACATCCCAATTTTCTCCCAACACCTCATGGAAAGATGGCAACAGACACGTTGGTAACATAGGTCTCAGTCAGCACCAGGGGCCCCACTGCAGCACGACTGACAGTCACCAGCAGCAGACTGTGAGTGCAAAGGCACACCTCCGCCCGTTCCTTCTCCTCCCTGTCAATTAATCCATTTCCAAAATCTGAATGCCCTAAATTCCATATTCCAAAGCGACACAGGTGGGAGAGGAATGGAGGCGTTCCGAGTCAGCTGCTTCTGCAGGGAGCTGGATGCCTTAAGAAGCACAGAACCAGATCCTCCTCCCAGCATGAAGCATGTGTCTTTTCAGGAGAAACAGTAATCATAGCTAACGGAAACAGCTTCTCCTCCCAGGAAGAAAGAGCCGGCAGGAGAGCTCTGCCTTTGCAGAATGGTTCTGCAAGCTCCATAGGGGAGGTCAGAATTCCCGTATTTCCTCTTCGGCCTCAGCTCTCACCGCATCCACCACTCCGTGCATGGACGAAGCCCCTACCACAGATTTACTGAAAAGGAGTAACCACCGCTGACGCACTCTGCTCTGTGCTAGACACTAAGCTCAATGCTTCATGTGTATTTGTTGTCTGAGAATCCCCGCATTGCTTCTGGAAGGCAGATACATTTATCCCCATTTGACAGAGGCAAAAACTGAGGCTCGTCGTAATTTGGTAGATGGCCTGGCGACCCTCAGCTGTGGGTGTCCCATGCTTTTCCCACCCTGCCTTTCACTGTCTTAACCTGATATTCCTTACAAACCGCTGTTCAAGTTGATCCCCTGCCTGGAGTACCACCCCCGGCTACACCCATCGGCTCAAGTCTCGGTTCTCCCAGTAAACTGCCAGGTCTCCCTGTTCAGCCTGAGCTTACTGGTCCTTCACAGACCACCCCGCGCGAGTGATTCACGCACATGTACTGTCATGCTAGGCTGTGAGCTCCCGGATGGCAGGTGCCCTATCTCCTCCACATCGCATCCCTTACAGCCACTGCCCCAGCTCTGCAAATAGCAGGTGCTCAGCACAGGCCCTCTGGAGGTGCTGCCACAGCGTAAACGTCCTCTGCCTCATTCCTCTCCCAGCCCTCGGGGAGCTCAGGGGTTTCCAGGGAGAGGGCGACGCGGGCTCCATCCGTGTCGTGTTCGCGCCCCTAGCTGCTGTGCCAGGAAAGGAGTCTCTTGGCCAGTTGGTCTCCAAGGTGCCAGCCCCAGGTCCCAGACACGAGTCACTGGGGCCTGGAGAGATGGCCCCTGGGGACGGCCTGTGGGCCCAGGCGTGGCTGCTGCCCCGGCTGCCCGCCCTGAGGATGCAGGCTCAAGCTGCTTTGGGAGCACGTGAGTCTCTCACGGTGGGACCACCTGGGGGACAGGGGCGCAGGGCCGGCAGGTGGGGCCTGCTGCACACCAGCAGGGCTGCTGACACGCATCGTGTGTCTCCCAGAAGGCGTAGCTGGCTTGCTCCGGATGGTCTGTCCTTCTAATCTTTATACCTATGTATTTTTTGAACTTTAAAAAATGTGTACATATTACTTCTACAATTGGGGAAAGACACAGAATGAGAGGTTCCATACCCTTGAACTCAAGGCCATGACTTTGGGACTTCCTTAATCTTTCAAAGGCTTATGTTCTTATCTGAAGATAGGGCTGTAGGGACTCCTGCCTCACGGGGGTGCCATGAGGATGCAAGGCCCTGACGCCCATGAAGTGACCCTCTCCGTGTCTGGGTACCAGAAAGTTCTCAACAAATGCTGTCATTGCTCCAATCACGGTCACTACTGATGTTATGCGATCCCCATCCTAGCCTGGGGGAGTAGACATCATCATCTCCTTACTCACATGGTGGAACAGAGGCCCAGAGAGGTTAGGGGACCTGCCCAGAGTCACACAGCCACCAGGAAGCTGAGTCAGGTCTCCAGCCTCAGAAGCAGAAGTGAGGTCATGTGCCCACAGGCTCCCCGGGAGAAGTCTCCCCTTGGCGGGAATCACGCCGGGATGCACGGAAGGCCTTACCTGCAAGGTCAAGGAGCTTGTGGGCATTTGCGGGCTCTTGGAACAGTCTTCCGGCAGGTCGTGGGTCTCTGGTCCCTGGGGGGTTTCTGGCTCAGTGGGTGCTGGCTCGGGCTCGGGCGTGGTGGGCTGCTCACTCTTCTTGCATTCCTTTATTTTAACAACCAAGTCACAGCACGTGTAATCTCCTGGGAGAGAAGATTAGAATTCCATTTAGAGAGCGCCCAGTGATTTTCTCCTGGTTCCTCAGAGCCATGAGACACAGAAGACAATTTTGAAAATAGAAACACCAGTGGGTTATTAATGGGCCTCGTTAAGCCCACGAGATCACGCCTCATCACAGACGCCCAGCTGCCCTGGTCACGGGGAGGCATGTTCGTAGGCAGCCAGACCTTGAGACTGGCTAGTGATGCCGTGGAGGTATTCCCTTGGCTTCTGACGTTCAAAATGCCTTTGCTCCCGATGCAAAGAAACTTTTTCTATTCTGCGCTTCCTATTACGTGTGTCCTGTACAATTATTTCAGTTGGGTTGTTTGGGGACCGTGTATTAATTTACCTTATCTTTGCTACGCTAATGATGTAAGACAGAGGAACGGTGTTCAATTATCTCTCCCTCCCCTTAATCTACCAGAGACTAGCTCTGGCTTTACATTCATAATTGGAACTCTCTCTGTCTCAGCGCGGGACTGGGCTCCATCCTGAAGCCATTTTGACACTCCTTGGTGGAAGAGATCAGAGGATGAGTTCATGCCACAGCATTTCGGGCAGGGCTGCCTTTGGGGCGGTGAAAGTGGGCGATTCATACGTATTCACTTAGCCCTCACTGACCAACTGCTCCACTTGGAACACAGGGTCTGTCCCAGCCCACTCTTCCCATCTGGGCTCCCTGACTCCCCTCACCACACGAGCCCTAACCACAGCCTTACCAACCCTCTCCGGTTCTGAGACTCACGAGTGGTCCCCTCACTCCTCGTACACATGCCTTCCCATCTCCACGAAGCCCCTTTGGTGCCCACCCAGTGACCTCCTACCTCTAGGCTGAGTTTTTCAGGAAAACGCCCCCTCCTGCCTCCTCTGTGTACCTGCCGTGGAGCACACTTCACACACTTGGCAGCATCAGTGGGCCCGTCACAGGATGCTTTAACCCCACAGGCCTGTGACTCCCTTGAGGGCTGGACCGTGTCATGCTCACCACGCCTCTCTCCACACTGCCAGCCCAGGTGCCCAGAAGCAGCTAGTTCTGTTGGGCGTGGAGAGGTGGCCACAGGACGCATCTCCACGGTCCCATGAATGTCTTAACTGACCCCCCATTATAACCTCTGCCATTCACACCCAGATCCTCTGTGGTCTGGACCAGCTGTCCTGTCTCCACCCCAAATCCATCAATGCTCCCTACTACCTACAAGCCCTACAAGGAAAGCAGACTTCTCATGGCTCGTTCATGGTGGGTGTTGCCCTACAGCCACCAATTTTGATGCTCTACCAACAACATGCTGCTTAGGGGTTCGCAAATCCTTCTCCTTGTTCTTCTAAGCATTTGCTCCAGTTTTTTTCTGGAGATTTCCCTGTTGCTCCCCCATCCCTGCTTCAGGCCTAACCACTAACCCAGATATCTGTCCCCCAACCCCCTACGGCTAGAGCTAATTACACTTTCTGTGGTACTGTTTCCATCTCTTGTGAACCTTTATTCCAGCTCACCCTATACTCGGGGAAGCCACGGTTTCCTCCCATCCTTCCCCTCCACAGATCCAGTGACGCAAGGGCAGTCCTGACACACTCATCTTCTCCATTACTCATGACAAAGCTTTGTCCATTATCTTCAAAGTCTCTACTACTGTGGCCAGTCCTCCCCAGCGGCATGGTCTGTACTCATCTCTGGCCAGTCTCAGCCTCCCTGCCTGGCCCTCTCCCATCCGGCCTCCACATTGTCCAGGAGACAATCACCTTCAGAGCAAATCTAATTAGGTCTCTTCCCCTTCAAGGACTTGGCCCAGGCTTCAGTCCAGACTCTTTTAGTGGATTTATACGGACTTTCCAACTCGACCCACGGGACCCTGGATTCACACTAGCCCCCCCTCCACCCCTGCACTCCGGTCCCCTGGACCCCTAATGAGCCATGCTCTTTCCATCCATTCTTTGTTTTGTGTGTGCTTTTCCCTCAGCCTGCAATGCTCTTCACCTTACGGTCTGATTTTTAAACCTCTAATCAGCTTTCAAGTTCTTTCTCAAAATCATTTCCTTGAGGAAGGTGTCTCTGTCCAGCCCCTCCTTGCAGCATCTGGGGCCGTCCTCCGCTTCCTGATGGCTCATCACAGGCACAGTTACAACCCCGATGTCTCCGGTACCGGACTGAGAGCACCTGGAGGGGAGGAAGCACTGTGCACAGTGCCTGGCACACAGTAGGTGTTTAATAAATGCTTCTTTGATGGTATACAGTGGGTATTCAATACATACTCCTTTAATGTATTGATGAATAATGAGCTAGAGATTCACTTGGGTTTCAGGAAAAAACGTTTTTATCAATTACCATAAATATGTTAACTTTTATAATCCAAAGCTCTATAATCTTTTCCTTTCTGTCCTTATCCACAGCTCTTTGGGAAAATCTTTAGAGTGATAGGAAATCTAAATTTTCCTCTGTTATAACTGGGCACCACAGATCTTTTTTCTATTTTATTCCTATGTTTTTTTATATATCAATGGTCGCTGCAATATTCGTAGGGGTCAGCCACTTGGCCTTTAGAGAAATGATGGCCTGGTTTGACTTCTGTGAGAGGCTGAGACGGGGACCTATCTTCAAGGCACTGTGAGGTCAGTGCACTCTGTTTGTTGAGAGCCTGGCACATGTGGGGTCTCCACGCCCCGGCCATTATCCTGGCCAGTCAGTTACTGAGGACCACCCTCAGTCTGGCGCACCCGCTGCCTTCAGGGCAGCCACCCCGGGTCTCAACTCTTCCCTAACGAGGCCCGAGAACCTGCCGGGCACCTGGGAGTGGCCTTCTTCTCAGCTTCAGGCAATGCTGGCCTCGTGCACAGTAGGGCTGGGATTTCCTGACCCATGCAGTGCTGTCTTCTCGCTGCTTGGGAGGTAGAACTTGCCCACTATTTAAACCTGCTGGTCCTGCTGCTTCTCTGCTTGTACAGTTGGAGAAAAGGCAGATTCCTAAGGGAAGCTCAAGTGAACCAGGGCCCGGGAAGACCCTGCACCATGTTCCCTATGAAGATTAAGGAAGAATCATCTCAACCCTATACCTCCCTCGCTCCTTACCTTCCAGGAACTCTCTTTCTGTCTGAACACTGCGGTCTTCCTGCAGAGATGTGCATAAACCTTGGAAGGGGCAAAGGGACCCGGGTAAAGGGAAGCTGAGTTTCGGGACGCTTTGCTGTTGACTCTCTGCGGGTTCAGAGAGGTCACTAGACTGACAGCTGTTGCTTGGAGAGCTAGACCCATCAGGAAGGGGATCTTTAACCAGCTTCTGTTCCACTGGGGAAGCAGACACAGTCACGTGTGCTCCCTCTTGTTGCTTCTCGCGGCTTCCAGAAAATACTTTTGGTTCTACTAAAAATAAAATGAGAATTGTGCTCAAAACATCTGATGAGCCCGCGTCTAACGTGCTGACTTCTGCACGCCACGCTCTCCCAGAGACAGGCAGATGGGCTGCAGTGCTGCCTCGAGGGGACAGGCGTCATCGATGCCGACGTGCATGTGCTCACCCAGCAACGACATGTGGTCACCAGTTCTGGCCAGACGTGCCCGGGGTTCACTCGGGAGCCCCTCTACATGCACTGCTCTCATGCACGTGGCTCTGAAGAGACCGTGCTCCCTGGTACCCTTAGGAGCTCAAAAGACCTTCCAGACGGTAGATAATTGAAAGGGTGGTTTAGCACATTGACTCCGGGGGAAGATACCTTGGGTTCAAATCCCCCCTCCACCACTTATATGCTCTCTGGCCTCATCTATAAAATTGAGATAATACTATAACAAGGTAATAATGTTAAATATTATATGTTTAATTTTAATATATTTATTTTTATAATAAATTTACCTATTTAAATAATAAGCAATATATTTATGGAATGTATATAATCGTATTTTATATGATAAACAATGTAAGCATATTATTAATATAAATACTAAATGTTAAAATCAAGGTAATACTATAACAAAATAATGATCCAGCTAAGGTGTTTAGCACAGTACCTGATACACAGTAAACATTTAATAAATGTCCATTATCATTATTATTCCAGAAACAATGATGCTGGGTTACGTCCTATGGCAAGTGCAGATGCAGGATGTAATTTATCAGCTGTCTGTGCTCAGCTCTAATAACGCAGTGGGTCTAAAAGGTGTACAACGTGTTGCTTGTTGCCACATTGTAATATCAAAGGTCTGGAAACCACCTTGTGCTCATCAGCAGGAGACCGTTAAATAAATTACAGCACTTCCCTGCTTCGCAGCAGCGAAAAAGAATAAGACACACTCTCCTGGGTAGAGGGGGAATCATCTCTAAGATTCATTATCAAGTGAACAGAGTGTGGACAGTGTGCCAGATCCGCTTCCCCAGTCAGTGCTTATCTGCTCAGAACATCCTGGGAACTGGATTGTCTTGGGAGAGGGCGACTCAGGACCAGGAACTGGGGGCGGGAGAGAGACTTGCTTTTCACACTTTGCCTGTGTTGTACTCTTTGCTTTTGCTGTCTTTCTTTTTCTTTTGGAATACTCTATAAAGTTTTAAAAGTTATTCACTTTAAACAAGGCAGTGACTCTTGACCAGGTGTCATCTCTTCCCTATGCTGAGGCCACCTAAGGGGAGACAGGCACGGCTGCCAGTGGGGGTGGGACACATCCAGACCTCCTGCATACGGGGGGCAGAAAAAGGGTCCTGGGAACCACTGGAATAATCGAGATTCTTGGAAGATTCTCATCCTATTTTCTGAGATGTCTTGTACACAAAAAGGAAACGAGCCCATGACTACCAGGCACTGATGAGAGTGGTGACTTCTCTTAAAATGCCAGTTGTCTGCAATTCCTTCCAGCCTCTCTGTCCCTGAGTCCTGGCATCCCAGCCAGTGAGGATAGGCTGAGCATGGTGAGGCTGATGCTTGGAGGGGCTGGGGTCCCACAGGTTTCCTTTCAACAGCCACAACCTCCATTCCCTTCTCTAAAACGCGATACCCACTGGGT